CCCCAAAACCCCAAAACCCCTTTGATGCAAATACAAAAATTAAGGTCAAAAAATAAATATTTTAACAATTATAATTTTAAAAATTATTAGGATTTGAAATCTGGTAATTAATCTTAAATATAATTGATATAGATGTCAGAGGAAAGTAATAAAACATATTCAGAACTGTATCCTTCTTAGGGAGATGGATTAAGCGGTTTGACATCATCGAGTAATTAGACAATTAGTATAAATGATGATAGATCTATTATCAGATAGTATTATGATATGTAAGTTTTTTGAGGAAATAGTGTTATATATTTCTCTCTAATTTAGATCATTATTCGAATATTTTAGCCTAAACTCTGGATATTAATTTTTTAACAGAAGCCGAATTGAATCAGATTAAATGAGTTTGATTGATGAATCTAACGAGTCTGATTCTATGGCGATCCCCTCTAGATTAGAAATGATACACTAAGGCATCAAGAATAGAAACATATTTTTTGAAAAAGAAGTTGCACCATTAATAGACCAACATAACCAGTAGCATAATTGTATTCACAAAACATATCTTAATAATCTGCGCCATGATATAATAAGAATTAGCGAGGATGGTGATGAAGAAATAGAATTTGAAGATTTTGATAAGATTGATTTAAGAAGACCAATTTTGAATGTTCTTCTCGGATACCAAATGATCTGCAGACTTCTGTGTTTTTATGGAAATTTATAAAGTCCAATATACTAATTTCCCTCCTTAAATGTCTTTAAAAATGCAATTCTACTCTTTAAAGAAGATAATAGGATGTAAGACTTGATTAATCTAAACGTACTTGATTAATTTTCAGTAAAATGCTAGATGATATAATAAGATTTGATTTAATGCTTAGAAATCTTGCTTAAATTATAAGTTTCAGATAATGTAAGCAACAAAATAAAGGAAATAATCCATGTAAATAAAATAACAGAGTCTTGGACTTTTGATCTGAAAATAGGAATACTTGACAATCTAAGATTGATTTATCTTAAAGAAATAGTAGGAGATGTAGATACAATAAAATATATCTATGAAGAATTAAATAAAAGTAGAAATGAATTTGTGTTCCTCTGCTAGTTAATATTTTGCTACAGCTATGTTAAAATCACCCACATAAATTAACAGGGTCAATAATTTGAATAGATTTTAGATGGAAAAATATTTAAGAACAATTCAGTCTTTTGTTGTTAGAAATGGCTTGATTTCATTGAGATGAATATAGTAATTAAAAATCAAAAAAAATTTGAAACAATGCAAGGAATATTTATGGATATTGAAGAATCCTACTAAAAATATTATCAACCTGATGAATGATCTCAGATTTAACTTTAAATGCTACCATTTATTTAGCTATTATATTAATCTTAATTCAATGATCAATCATTTCCTTGTATTTATTTATAAAAGATTTCGAGGGGTTTTGGGGTTTTGGGG